TTTTTTGTTTGTTTCCTCTCCAGGAACTCAAGCAGGCAAAAGCATTGTTCAAGCCATCCAGGAGAGCCCTGGCCAGATATCCTTATTTTTTAAGTATACATAACATGAATGAACCCGTGTATTAGAAACAGTTTGTTTTGTCTTGCTACTTTATAGTGCCAAGAAGTAACACAAGTAACACTATTGACACTGCAATTCTGGTTGCTGCTCTTCAGCGTAAGCTCGTGCTTAATAGGATCAGAGAGTTAGCATTAGCAAAGCAGTGTTTTCAGGCTGACGACTTCCCAGTAGGAGGTTTGCTGCCTCATGTCCCGGTGAGATGATGTCAGTGGCTAGACATATATAGACTGCATGACTACTGAGTGGTTCCTTTGGATATTTAGACAGGTGTGAGTTAATTTACTCATGGTACGCATAATGTGCATGACATCACAGTTTATGTCTGTGTCGTTCTGGATTCTTCACGTTTTGCCCTTTGCTGCCATTTTGACCTCAAATTTAAAAAAAAAAAGAAGCTGAACGATTGATTGACTTTTCTGTAATTGCTGCTGCACACGCATATGTTGTCTTATTGTTTTATGATCAGTTTTTATTGTGTTCTGCTGGTTATACCATCATGCCTTAACTCGTCCTTTTGCACTGTGGTGGAGTTGGTGATTTGTTTCTTCTCCATCTGGTCTATTTTGGGCCTCTCAGGCTTCCATACTTACTTGATAGCTTCCAACCTCACAACAAATGAAGATGTAAGTATGAATATTTGAAATATATTTGAAAGTTCAAAGTAAGCTGTACCCACTCACTGATAGCTTACTTTATGTACGTGCTGTGCAGATAAAGGGCTCCTGGTCAAGTAAACAGGGTGCAGAGGATTCTGGGAACCCGTACACTTACAACAGTATAATCACAAACTGTTGTGCAACATTATGTGGACCCATGTCCCCAAGGTTAGTAGAGATCTCCCTCCCTTATATCTGTGATTGTGTTTGTTTAACCAGACATACCTTTTTTTTTTTAAAAGGCATAATTAACATTTCAAAATAAAAGCATCAGTTACAGCGTGCTTTAACGTTAACCTGTGTTCTGTTCTCCAGTTTGATCGACAGACGAGGTTTCCTTCCTGACGAAGCGATTCCCGTCGTTTCAGCCTCAGAGATCGAGCTGCCTCCCTTCACAGCCAAGAACGACTCTCACATGGTAGGATGAAGCAGCTTGTGCTCCCTCCTGAGTCGTGACTGTCCAATAGCTCCAGTGTTGTTGTTGTTAGCCCCCCCCCATGTGCCTTATCCTCTGTTTGTATGTGTCCACACCGTCATCCTCCAGACCTCCAGCCTCAGCCCCTCAAGCAGAGCAAACATGCAGTACTTTGACTGTGTGTCCAGTGTTATGAAAGATTGATCTTGAATAATGAATGTCATATAAGGTAATCCTGAGTGGGCTGGAGTAAAATGACCAGGAGTCAGCTTGTGGTTCCTTGGAACTGACACACAACATAAAGCACAGAAGTAATTGCTAATTTAAGAGCTGACATTTAACAGAAACCTTAACTGAAGAGTGAATGAATCATAACAAAGCCAGCTGGAATAAAACTTCTGTGTAGTTTGTTCTTCGAGCAAGAGAAGCAACATGTCCTGGAAGCCACCTGTAGCACTGTTTGGCACCATTGAGCTGTTTAAATAAAACCTATATGTTCGAGTGTTGCTGAGTTAGCCTGTCACTGTGCTGCAGATGTATTATAGTAATCCGGTGTCGTGGGACACTAAACATGTTACATCGTTACACTTATTGTTGATTGTGTTTGCCTTCACATTTAGGTTGCTGTTCCTACCTCCTTGTTAATGTACCACTGGGTTTGCTTGTGTTTTTGAGTGGCTATGTGTGAACACAGAGAACTGGTTTTCTGCTTTGTATTTTATGTGTCAGCACTTTATCAGATCATGTCACACGCCTTCAATAACTGGTTTATTTTTTAACTATTCTGTTTTATTTTCTTTAAAAAAAGAAACCTCTACATCTCTTACCTTGTTTTATTTACCTTAAAGTTGTTCCTATATATTTTAAATAAACACTATTTTTGTATTTTGGTCTCTGTTTTGAGTCTGCTTCAGCGTTCATCTTTCCAGACTTTAAGCTGTTTTTATGATTTATTTTATGTTAATTCAGTGGGGTAAAATGAAGAATCTAAATGGGTTTATCTGTTTCATGTGCCTTTACTTTAACCCCAGGAAGAATGATCTGACTCTCAGTGTTTTATTGTATCCATCCCACCATGCCAGGAGGAGAACTGTCAGGATTTTGCTTTTTCCTGCACAGCCTGAAGGGCGTTGCTGCATGTAGACGGTTGATGGTAAGAGTAGGGTTGAGTATTAAATCAATCTCAACATCGCTTCAAAGCCCACTCACTGTGTCTCTTTCGTAACATACATTGTGTGGAATCATACTCATCTCAACCATTATTTTTTATTAATATAATGCTTTGTATTCCTGTTACTTCTAATATGACTAAGTCCAGGCAGATCTTGTGATTGTGGTTTACTTGTGAATGTGCATGCTTCACTACCATTCATTGTCTTCTCACTAACATTCACTCTCACTCGGCAAGGGATGGATCTGTTGTTTGAAGGCTGACGATCTTACTCTTGACTTCTCTGTAGTTGGACAGGATGTTTTCTTGAATCATGTGTGGGTTGTTTTTGTGCATGCATGGTGATGTGTAAGCAAGAAAAGATCCTGCACTGTAACTCCTCTTCTGCCTTTTATCAGAGCTAGAAAAAACGAGAAGAAGCGGCTTACTTCATTGTCTGTATCTATCTCCCTTCTTACGTGCTTCTCCATTCGAATCCACACCGTCATCAGTGCTTTCATTGCTTTCATTGCTTCCACTGTGCTTGATGAGCTCTAAACTAACCATTTTAACCATTTCAATGCATTTTGTCCTGTTTGGCCTTCATTAACACAACCTGATGATGCAGATGAGTTTCCCCTATTTCCTTGACTTCTCAGTTTTTATCCTCCTCACACAGTGCACTCAGAGCACCAAGGACGTGCTGGAGAGGGTGGTCAACTCCTTCGACTCCCACAGCCTGTGTCCTCCTGGGACACCAAAGACCAGTCCTCTCAGTGTGGAGGTCTCCAGCGCCACAGCACCTTCAGCAGAAGCTTCACCCTTGGCCGGCTGCTCAAGGCAGCAGGACGGCCAGCCTGTGGCTGCTTCCTGCCCACCGTTCAGTAGAAACAGCAAGAGGGACTCGCTGCACTCCATTAACCCGGCCTTCCGACTGGCTTCTCCCTCCCCGTCGATGACTCGCGCCACTTTAATTCTGGGCGATGTACCGGACCTTGGCTTTATCCCACTTCCCTGAGTTTTAAAGAACCCGAGGTGTTGCTGAACCTGTTGCTGCTCTGCATCTCTGGCAGTGTTTCCTGCTATACAAACTTTTTCATAGTGGTGGTCATGCTGTGTATTTCATTTGGTATCTCAAGATGTCACTGATGAGTTAAATTAGCATTACCTGAAGGGTCTTTATGTTCTGTGAGTTTTAGCAGCCCTGTCATTCGCTATTTTTTACTGTTTGGTGTCTCCACACTGGAGGTATATCTTAGTAATACTTTGAAGCACAATATAGAGATATTTTTTTAACACCTTTTTACAAAAATGCCCACAAACATGCCTCCACACCTTCCACAGAACACAAAGCCATACATCACAGCTACAGTGTTTCATCAGTTCTTGATCATATCTTTATGTAAACGGGTCTGTTGATACTCAAAATACAAATGTGGATGCAAGAGGAACAGAAGCAAAAGTAAAGATTTACTGAAGCTGCATGCTTAGATAGGGAGTCAGTTTACGACTTAGTCTTATGTCATGACTGAGCAATCTGAGTTGGAATAGGGACAACATGTTGTTGGTTTTATTTTTCATGTACACATATGGAGGTTTCTGCTGTAAAATCTGTGAACAGTTCTGAGTGACTTGAACACCTGATGAACTCTGAGACTAAATGGTAAATTGCTTGATGTGTGGGCCATCACTTTAGGAGACTTCAAATAAGGAGAAGAGGCTGAATGAATGCGGCACAGCTTTTTCATTTTATGACTGAATAGTAATCGTCAGAAATGTGTAGCCTTAGTTTCCACACATATGATCACATCTACTTTGTTGCTTTGTCATATACATTATACCAAAATCAAATTAGCTTCTGCCAAGCACGGTTTTGGATTGAAGTATTAATAACTGGGATGCTTTCATCTATGGAATTATCTGTTTTGTTGACTGTACGCTGCCTGTCACTTGTGTGTTGGTGGTTACATTACAGGCTGAAGGTATGGACTGTGTAAGTCAGGGTTATGTAGGAATGTTGATTATGAGGCCAGTTTAAGTGCAGGACAAGTTGTCATTTTCATAGCTGTGACCTTTTCCTGTTAAACCTGAAACTTAACCCTCCAACTGAGAGAGTAGAAGGCAGGAGTTAGGCTGTGCCACTAGGGGGCAGCATGTAAATAAAGATGGTACGCTATAGTCAGAACATAATTCAGTTTAACCATAAAAGAAAGGCCTTTTTTATGTTTTTATTTCTTTTTCTTATTGAGCATTACATCTGTACATAGGATGGATCCGTGAAAATACTTTTTCCATAGTCACTGGTAGCTTATTTATCAGTATGCATCATAACCCTTAGGTTGTGTAATATTACAAGCAGTGCTTGTATGAACAAACTTGTTTGAATTTTGTAGGATGTAACAGTGGAACTGTAACATTTGGTCAATAAAAATATCAGCTTCGTTGAATTTCTTTTTGATTCTTTTTTATATTTAAATATTTATCGTCTTCCCATACCAGGGTATTCAAATGAGCTCGTCAACTCTGAACAGATTCATGTCAAACTATGATATAGACCACAGTAAAAATCAGCAATAGTTGAGGTCATCTATTTGGACAACTCCTTCATGGAAACAATGAAGAGATGCTTGTGACCACGTGTTCAGACAGGCTACAACACTGCAATGTGTGTGTGAGTGATGTGGAGGGGGTTGGAATTAAATGTGGAGAAGATAAATAGTGGTAGCTGGTAAACTAAGTGCCTTTTCACAAACAGGCCATGTAATGTATACAAAAGCATAGTACACAGAGAGCAAGGTTTTTATTTTATTTTTTAAATCACTATCTGCGTTGTCCTCTCTCCATCTTGCTGGAGTCTGACTCCTATTTAATCAAACAAGTCTTTTGGACTTTAGCGCAAATATTTTTTTCCACCTTGTTAATAGCCATTTAAAACAAGAATCCTCGTCCATAGTGTGCTTAAATGTTCCTTTGGCTCTGCTGATGACATGATGTTATGTGCCCAGGGTTATACTTTTTGCCTGTAATTATTGAAATTAAAAACTGGATAAAATATCCCCAAGGTCAGCGATCACGGAGGATGGACCGTGACAGCTGAGGTCAGAGTCTGATTGCACCCAGCTGTTACTACTGTGTGCAGGAAAGTGAGGATGTTGATGTAAGGTCCTCAAAAATTGCTTTTAGGAACCTATATTTTGCAGAAAAGTCTGCTTTTTTATTTTCTCCCTGTAGGCTGATGTTATTCACCTGTCAAAGAAAACAGTGTGTGCTCTAAATGTTGAGTTTTTCTGTATCTTGTATCTTCTCAAAGTTGGAGAAGTAACTTACTCATGAATATTTGTTGGGAGGGTTATCATTTTTACTTTTACTGAGTGTTTTTATAGTTTAAAACAACGAGAGACAGACTGTTAATATAATTATTTCTGTTTTCAGAAGGTCAGATAGAGGTGAAAAGTAGGAAATGAAGAAAAGTTGGTTGTTTACTGTACATGTGAAAAGTATGTCATGTTCCTGAAAGAGAATGACTTCAATGTTTGTTGTAATTTTTCATATGTATCTTTTACTTTAGTTGTCTTTTAATCACTGAGGTGCATCAGTATAGCAACCTATATATCTTAACCCAACATAAAACAGATGTTTAGACTTCTTGCCCAGTGTCTGGCAAGAGGCTGCAGCCAAAGCATCACAGCAGCTGGGATGCATTTCACCCTCCGACTCCATGGCCTTGAAGAATCTAAGAAAACATTTGCCGGAGAAGAGAGATGTGAAGAGGAGTTTAATTAAACAACAGCAGAGATGGAACTAGGTCATGTGTGTGTGTGTAGCGGGTTTTAGTTGTCGGTAGAAAGTCGTCCCTGTCTGCAGGTGATTGCTGGCGTATGTTGTGCTCCTTAACCCCAACTGGTGTGGCACAGAGACAGAGAGGGCCACCCAGTCAGCCTGTTTCATTGCTGGATTTCAGAAAAAAGTTTGTTTTTCTATCATAAAATATGGTTTATAGATAAATTAGACTCTTAAATATCTTAAACATGAGTGACCTTCATCAAAAGAGAAGCCCTTTTGATGAAACATAACTGTCTAATGGGACATCTTTATTTCATTGATTTCTTCTCATTCACTGAAACAAATGAGCAACATGAAGTAACTGAACAGTCGGGAAAGCCACCCATTTCACTTCAAAACTAATAAATTCCAGCTCTCAAAGAAAAGCTCCACTACCTCTTTCCCTCTGGCTGTCAACCCTCTGTGATTCATCTTTCTCGTTCCTCTTCAGCGGGCCACGTTTGGCCCTGCTGTCATGTGTGCAGCCGAGTGTCACACTCTCACAAGTCTTCTCCTCACTGCTCGCTGGTCTGACCAGAGCAGAAGTGAAGTACCTCTGTGTGAAAAGAACAGGTGACTCACAGTCAGGGCAGCTGTCAACATCATCACTGATTCTGGAGAGCTAAAAGTGCGTCTCTGTGTCAAGCAGTGAAGCTGGATATAATTAACCCTGTGCCGAGCAACCAGCTGCCAGCAGGCCGCATGTGCCAGCGGGCAGAGCATGTAAATGCAGCCAGTGAAACATGAAACAACCAAATGGTGTGAGTGCCATGCAGATATGTGTGGTTGCAATTTATTGGACTGTAATACAACCAAACTGTCTGCTAATCTTGCACAGTTCTGTGGGTCCAGGGTGCAAAAGTTCCACAACAAAACTAGGAGGTATTTTTTTTCCCCCCTGAAATATTCAAAGTACAACTCATGCAGCCCTGCAGTAAAATACAGTTACTTGAGGCTGTTGGGGGTCGTAAGGATAGCTTTTAGGGGTTCTCATCACTTGTCACCTTCACACATTCTTGTGTATTATATGGAACATATTCAGTATTAGTAATGTTATGTGTGATTAGTGCTTTTGATTGGTTTATGCTACTCTGCTTCTCTGTTTATGTTTGTATTATTTTATTGTGTTAAATGTATCAGCTCAACTGTGAAGATGACTTAATGTGTACAGCATTCAAGTCTAAGAAATATTTTCATCTGGGCAGCAGAGTCTGTTGTAACGTAACGCAACACAAGGTAACCCAATATGTAATATATAATGTACTGTAACATAACGTAAAGATATGTAACGCAATGTACTGTAACGCAATCTAATGTAACGCTACGTAACATAACATAACGCAATGTGAAACAACGCAATGAAATGCAATGCAATGTACTGTAACGTAAAGTTATGTAACGTAATGCAATGCAAAGTAATGTAATGCAATGTACTGTAACGCAATGTACTGTAACGCAATGTATTGTAATGCAACGTAATGCAATCTAATGTAACGCTACGTAACATAACATAACGCAACGTGAAACCACGTAATGTAACGCAATGTAATGTAATGCAATGAAATGTAATGCAATGCAATGTACTGTAACGTAAAGTTATGTAATGTAACGCAATGCAAAGTCATGTAACGCAATGTACTGTAATGCAATGTACTGTAATGCAATGTACTGTAACGCAATGTACTGTAACGCAAAGTATTGTAATGCAATGTAATGCAATCTAATGTAACGCTACGTAACATACCATAACACAACGTGAAACAATGCAATGTAACGCAACGTAATGTACTGCAATGTACTGTTACACAATCTAATGTAACGCTACGTAACATAACATAACGCAACGTGAAACAACGCAATGAAATGCAATGCAGTGTACTGTAACGTAAAGTTATGTAACGTAATGCAATGCAAAGTAATGTAATGCAATGTACTGTAACGCAATGTACTGTAACGCAATGTATTGTAATGCAATGTAATGCAATCTAATGTAACGCTACGTAACATAACATAACGCAATGTAACGCAATGTAATGTAATGCAATGAAATGTAATGCAATGAAATGTAATGCAATGCAATGTACTGTAACGTAAAGTTATGTAATGTAACGCAATGCAAAGTCATATAACGCAATGTACTGTAATGCAATGTACTGTAATGCAATGTACTGTAATGCAACGTATTGTAATGCAATGTAATGCAATCTAATGTAACGCTACGTAACATAACATAACACAACGTGAAACAATGCAATGTAACGCAACGTAATGTACTGCAATGTAAAGTTATGTAATGTAACGCAATGCAAAGTCATGTAATGCAATCTAATGTAATATTATGTAATGCTACGTAACGTATCGCAACATGACGCACCATAACTTGAAGCAACGTGACGTGACACGACATAACTCAACTAGACGCGATGCATCGAGACGCGACAGAACGTGACACAATGCAATGACACGCTCTGCTGCCTGATGAAAATAGCTTTTGACTTAAATGTGCACACATTAAGTCATCTTCACAGTTGTACTGATAAATAGAACACAAACAAGTAATAAAAAGTAACGTAACGTGTCGTTTGCCATCCCTTCATGTCGTAACATAACATGTCGTTTGTATCTTATTACATCATATAATTTCGTAATGTATATACCACACTCTTCTATATTGTTTTGCATCATAATGCATTGTTTGTATTGTGCCGTAGCATGTAATATTCTATATCGTTTTGTTGTATTGTAATGCATTGAATTGTATTATGTTGTAACATACCTGTTGCTTTGTATTACATTATGTCATGTTGTGTTTTGTCCTGTGTGAGACTTCCTCACACAATATGTGGGAAAGGGAGTGTACCTGTGTCTTTGCCTTTGAGTGTAGAGTTTGGTCAACACTTAATCATATGTTTGTGGACAGCTTTTCCAGGGATTTCCCCGGGTGTAACATGGATACATCTTATTATGTGTGTGTTTGGGTTTGGTGGTGGATGTGTGAACACCTGAAACAGCCTGAGAGTCTTTCAGTACATACAGCTCAGGAGAGATAGCTCAGGGTTATGACTTGGTTAGTTTGTGTATTAGTTTGTTGACCGATACAATCTGTTGCTAGATTAGAGAAGAGTCTGTGCAGGGTTTCACTATTGACTGTACAGTTCACTGTGTATGCACTGGTGTAGTGCAGGGTATACACAGGTATTAGAAGTATAACCACTTATTTTTCAGTCTCCATAGGGTATACCCACTTCTAAATCTCCTCTGATTCACACTATTGATTGGTTGACAATATTCAGCAGTATGCTGCAATTTTTCCTTGGATGGTGAAGGGGCGACCCTCCCTATACTCTGTCTCTTATTGGCTAGTATGAACTGACTAAATATGCAAGAGGAGTCTTATATGTCACTGTTTATAACAGAGGCTGTTTACTTTAGGCACCACTACACTACAGTATGCACAGTTACTAGAGGGTGTGAAATAACCTAAATCATGCTTACTATTGTAAATTAATAATGATAATTTTCAGAAAACACAACAGCCACTATTCAGTTGATCAAGATTTCTTGGATATGACCCACTTTTCTTGTGTCTCTCCACTTATTAATTAACATTTACATTTTTCTAGAT